AAATGTTAAAAAATGTTACTAAAATGTTATTATTTTAGAAATTTCTCTGTTGTTCAGCTCTGAAATTATACTAAAACAATTATTCGCCCCAGGTTCGGGGATTATTCGACGATATTCACCTCGCCTTCGGCGAATAATTGTTAAATACGAATATAGAGTACTTTCATTAGCACACGACTGTTATTATGACCTTTCACCTGTTCCTATTAAGCAGCTGCTTATGAAATATGATTGTAACTATAACCCACGAAGGAAAATAACTTTTTTGTTACCGAAGCCGAACTTAGAACTTCTGCGCAAGTCCACTTGTTACAAAGCCATATCTCTATGGAATTCTCTCGAAAATCATACACGTTCAATGGCAAGCTGAAGCTTGTTTAAAAACTCGCTTAAACGTAGAATGTCATGCAAATAGCTTGGTATATCTGTATTTTTAAATAAGTTTTTCTTAATTCTAATTAATTTAAGTGTTTTATTTAATTTTAAATAGCATTTTTTAACTTTTTAAATACACGACCACATCATCTCCGCTGTAATTTTTATCATATTTAAATAAATGTTATTGTTGTTGTTGTTTTTGTTGTTGTTGACAAGGCAGATGATGTAAATATTTAAGGAAAATGTAATCTAGGGTATATTCCAAGGATGAAAATCTAAGTTCTAAGAGCCATAACAAAAAAAATTTACCAAAATTTACAAAATTACACATCTGCATGCTGATACGAATTTATCCTCTCGTGTTGATATGAACACTCAAGAGTGACAGATCTTATCAACGATCGTAGACACAATTCGTAATCACGCGGCTATGTCCTATCCTGTGTCTGGTGAAAGGGCGGATTGTATTTAATATAGTGTCGATTACTCTTGATTGCTCTTATCCAGGTCCTCAGTATAAGCATCCACCCGCGGGAAGATTTGGCACGCGCTGGGGAGAGGTTTGCTGGGGATCTGGCACTATCGGCGCTAGAAACTGGGGCGGGTTGTACTATAACGTCGATTGTCATTATCTTTGTTAATTTATTTTAAACTTACTCTGAGTGCATAACATATTGGAAAAAAATAAAAGAATAATAGTTGAAATAACTAACTTGATAATATATGGTACTAAAAGAAAACTTAGTGAGGGACGATCACAGCAGAGCATCAGTTCCAACTAGGTGACAGTCCAATGGAAAAAAAAAAAAGACGATAAAAGTGTTTCAAATGAAAAAAAAGTGACTTAAACCATACTTACAAAAAACGTACAGGCCGCCCTCACAGTAAAACTCTCTTGAACATCAAGAGCTGCGAGTCCTGTCAATCAATCAGTCAGTCAATCAGTTTCGTTTATTATCGGATTTGTTAGCGAACAGGATTTCAAAACGACGAATCAAACTTTGAATAGGTTACACTTCTTGTGGGATAAAACTGTGAACATAACATCACAAAATGTCACGCTGTTTAAGTGACGTAGCGAAATGTGACATAACAGGACGCAATTGCAAAAAAAAAAAAAGAAAAACATTGCACAAAGTTCCAGACCAAAGGGGGGAGGTATGGGGGAGGGGGAACTATTGCCAAGCTTTCACGAGCACTGAGTGCAGTAAGTACTTCTTTGCCTGAAAAAACCTATGACGACTTAAAACGAACTTGAGCAGGTTCTAGAATACAAGCAAATTTGAAACTGAAACGTTAACTGACTCAAATAAAAGTCACACCTAAGGTAGAGCTATTTGCGCTGGGTCATTACTGCAGATCGTTTTCCCTGTGTATTTATTTCCGGGTTTTTCAGCAGGGGAAGAAAACAGAGAAGACTCAAGGGAGCGTTTAACAAGATCACATAGCACAACGTAACCCAACATACCACAAGAAGATTCCTTGTGATTTACATTCCCTCGTCATCTAATAGAGAGATTTAACACGCCTTTACGTGATACGTGAACGGCAAAAGTGACCACGTGACCTTGTTTATCCCGCCATTTTTTTCACGTTTGATGGTTGCGCTTTGCTGTTTCTACGTGAAAGTATCCTCTTTCGCGTTCGCCATGCAAGATTTTCTTCACCTATTCTTTCACAGAATAGAATTTTATTTCCGGAAAAAGGCTACCAAAACTATTCCTTGTAAGTCATAGAGTGGCGCCTTCAAATCCACCACGACGTGAGCTCACGGGAATCTAAGGCAGCAAGGTTCACGCTATTTTACGTGAAACGTGAAAGGGCAAGCTAACGTTTGCCGTTTCACGCAAACGCGATGCTTAATCTCTCTGATATCTTACCGCACTGAAATATGTTCGCATGATATCCATCTCCTTCAAATACTAGTTTTGGATTGGCCTTCAGCCCCTGTTGAAATGTTTTGATCGAATTGCGTAAAAAAAGAATTGAAGACAAGAAGGTCGTATTTAACAAAAGAAATGTCGAAATTCATAAGTAGTGGTGATTCTTAACTCTCGATGAGAGTGGGTATGTTGCTATTCAGTAAAGAAAAGTGAAAATTTGGCCGTGGTTTGTAAAGGTAAACTGCTCATCGGACAGCTAAGCTTCTTTTGAATTAATATACCTGAATTATACAGCCGTACTTTACTAAAATCCTATCATCATGCGATAACGACAACAAAAGGGAAGTTGCTGGAAGTGAAAGGATTTAAACAGCTATCCCGAGACACCTACCCTGCAAACAAACTGCATAAATGACTGGAGAATATCTGGAAAATTGCGCAAATCTGTCCCACAAACATGAGTAAAAAAAGGATTAGATCATGAAGACTTTACTACTAGCAATCTCTACTACAGCATTGAGCCAACATATATTTCTACCGGAGCAACGTTTTGAACATTTCCGTATCTGCTGAGTGATGGTGCAAAACTTAGAACAGACTCCCCTCAACAGGTGACAAATACTACTGGCACTGTACAAGCGACTCACTCACAACTTTACAGTCATACTAAGTGAAGCGTATCCCTCAGGATTACATTAATGATTTGATTATTTGAATATTGAACCCGCTAATCGTTTCAGGAGCGCAATAACGAATTGAATATTTGAACATGGAACCCGCTAACCGTTTCAAGAATGCAATAATGGATTGATTATTTGAATATTGAACCCGATAGCCGTATTCGTTTTGAAAAGGCGCGGATCATTGTTCAAATCAGAAGTCCATTTCTGATTGGATTATGCGAACACGTGATGATGGATCGGAACTATTTCAACATGGCGA